AAGTACAGCCACAGCATAAATGCATAACATATCCAAAGAAGAATAAAATTGAGGAAGAAACAGAAGTACCTATTGGACTTTCTGTTGCACCTCTCTCGGTTGATACCCACACTCCAGGTCCTTGCACCTCTGGTTGCTCATCCTACATAACAAATCACAAACCCTAAAACATTACACGTGAAAAATAACTATATATGGAAACAAAAACCTCAAGTTCCTGCAACGCGTAATTTTGGAACCTCAACATCAAATTACATGTATATCTAGCATTCACAGATCAGAAGTCTGTTTCAGTCAATGTTTGACTAATAAACATTTCGGATAAGGAAAAGATAGAAGCCGCTCGCTGCCTATAACAAACACAACTTCAAAACCAAACGGATGTTTCTGTAATTAGAATTAGCTCCAATTAAGCGAATGATGGACTGAATCGGACAACCAATAGCAAAAGTAGCAAGGAAAGAGGATCCACAAGCTCATTTCAATGTTCACAACAAAAGAGGTGAGAAAAATGTGACAGAAATTGGATTCAAATAGAGAAAGAAAATGAGGTTAAGGAAGTACCTCCAGCGAGAATGTCGATAGAGCAGCAATGGCTTCTTCGACTGGAACAGCCATCACCAATTTCCGAATCAATGTTGAGGGAAAAGCAGAGCGCGAAGCATATAACAGCAGAGGAAAGATAAACTACAATTTCTTCGTTTCTCACTCCACCTCCACTACTCTCGGTAGGTACATAAACATCAGCGAGTCTTCAATTGCAAGGCTCAGCAGGTATCGCTTTTGTCTGTATGACTAAAATGCCCTCCTTCTATGCTGTATTTCACCTTCTATTGTCGTTACGGAGGCTATATACATGCATCTGAATTCTGAAGTAAGAAAATAAGGGGGAAACAAGTGGGAGTGACAAAAAGAAAATAAAAATAGAAAATGAAGGGGAATGCATAATTTTTGTTTTATTTTTTTGTGCATAATTATATTTTTTTCAATTTTCATGCTTCCAATTTATATCGAATTTGATTATCTAAATGAGGGGAGTACATTTTGAAAAATAAAAGATAATAATTACTAAAAAAATCAATTATTAATATGATAATTAACAATTGTTCAAATACTAATTTGGTTGTTAGAGAACTTTATATGTATTTTTACCTTTACTCGCTCTTAGACAATATGATCTTCATCACGTGATATCTAAACAAATATGCTTAGCTAGATAAATCAATTTTAAACACAAAGAAAGCTAAAATAGCTCAAAAAGTATTATTGCAAAATCTAATTTTATCTGTGTACAATTTGGCTATTTATATTGATATGTATTACAAGAGAATTAAGTAACTAACTATTAATTGTAACAAATAATTAATTAATAAGAATTTGAACTGTTTTTTGTTGAGCTCAACTCATTTTGATTTTTTATTTATTTTTATTTGTTTATGGACATAGCTTATACAATATTTTAAAATTGATAATCAAAAATTAATTTGTACTTTTGAGATATGACTCTTTTCTTATTTAGATAAATAAAATAAATAAGAAAGAAAAAAGGCAAATAAATATTAAAAAAATATTGCAGAAAAATATATAGTTTATTTAGATAGGTATAAATATAAAAGAGATATTTTTAAATCTTAATACGCTCCAAAATTAACTTTTTAGAATAGATATTGATGTGATTTATACAATGTGACAATCACTTCAAAACTTTACAATGATGACCATGATTTTGAGTCAGGTTGTCCGTATGAGATATTACCTTTATTTGTAAAATCCTAAAATTAACCTTTCAATACGAGTTTCTTGAATTGTGAAAAATATTCAATGTAACACTTTAATCATATTAAGACTTATGAGCTTATTACAATGTGGGATTAATCAATGCCACACATTAACTATATTAAGGCTGGAGATGGAAAAAGTATGTTTAACCAAAGTAATATATATATATATATATAT